TGCACATGTACTGTACGCCATACCTGCAAACTCCACAGCTGGCTTACAGCGTCCACTTTCTACTGCCCACCGTCTTGCAACGTGCACAACAACAATGGCCCCCCCCGGCTCGAGGACATTTTGTGCCCCGAACGATGGGCAGCACTGATTGCTGAAGGAGCGCGATGAGGGGGGGCAAATGAGATGGCAGCAAGCATCACATCGTAGGATTGATCCTTGACACACCGTAAGCCAAACAGTCTGCCTCGTCATATTCGATACATGACTCGTGCGAGGCATGAATTGGACATCGTGGATTGTATCTTGTGCATGAACAGCTCGAACCGGGTCACGAAGAGCCGAGACTCAGAACTCAAATCCAGCCTTGTGGAATTGGGCAAGATCAGCGCCGACGTGCGCATGCTGGGCAAGGTCCATGCGCTCCATGACGATGACTGCAGGAGGAGAGCGTGGAGCGTATCAGTCTTGACGATGCCCACCAAAGTACGCTCGCTCGCTACCACAAAAGCACTCACAAATTCTGCGCAGGGTGGACCAGAGGTTGTGAGACTCTTGAGCCTCCGCGAGCGGCGGAGGTCTGGGTGCGTCCACATGAGATCCTTCAGGAAGATTCAGAGCTGCATGGGACTGCTGCAGCGAGAGGGCAGCCAAGAGGTGCTCTGCAGCTTCGTGATGCGCTCCCAAATTCAAGCCTATCGCGGCGACCATCGAAGCAAGTGTAATCTTCGTCAGCATTACGCCACACAGCCAGAGCATGGGTTGTGCAAAGGATCACTCACATGAGACGGAAAGGTTATAGATGGCTCTGGTGAAGGTGGGACGGAGCTCAAGGGCCTTGTGATATGCTTCGATGGCCTCTTCAGGTTTACCACCGTTGGCCAAAGTAGCTCCAAGCCTGTTCCAGAGCAGAAAGTCGTTGGGCCGAGCTTGCAAAGCAGTCTGGAAGCAGTCTTTGGCTTCTTCATAAGAGCTGTTGCTATAGAACAGGACTCCCAAGCCCACTTGAATCTCCGGGTCAATCACTCCTTTGGAGGCTCCTTCTCTCGCTGCGGATAGGAACATCTCCGTCACCTTGTTAAGCGACGCCCATGGATTGCCTTCCGTCCCCTCGATTGGGTCCTTGGAACCTGCTATTTCCGGTGGCGCGCTAGCTGTGATGTGAGGGTAGGCTTTCGCCATGTATCGCTCGAGCGTGGTGTGCGCTGCCGCGTCATAGCCTTCGTTGGTGTACGAGATGGCGAGGGCCTGCCACAGAGCGGTGATGAGCGATTATCAGCACAATCTACAGTTCAAAGGTCGAGCCCTCTTACTCACCATGTACGCCTCTAGATTGTTCTCGTCAAGCTTGACTGCCTCTTCAAATGCCCTGATGGCTTGCGTCTCTCTCTCATTCATCGCCATGGCTTCACCAAGTCTTCTCCACGCTTCACTCTTTTCTCTCAGGGCGCGATTGACCTCTTGAAGTTCACCTCCGCTGCCTCCTTCCACGTCTCTCTGAGTTGCTGCCTCGAATAGCAGAGCTGCATCCGCAAGGCTTCCTCCGTTAGCCAAGAGTCTCAGGCCCTCTGCCATGGGGTTTTCGTGTGTGGAGAAGGGATTCTCCTGAGCGAATCGATAAGCTCCAAGTCGAGGGAATCCATCGATGCCAGTGGTTCCATACCCATCCATGAGGTGATCCTCGGTTCCGTCGAATCTTCCACGTTCATGAAGACCTTCTACACCTCCACCCAGTCCGCCAGAGGGATGTGTGTATGCCCATTCGTCGAGGTCAGGCACTTGCTCATCGTCCTCCGCGTCCTTCTCTCGCTGTCTCTGCATAAGCTCTTCAAATCGCTTGAGCTCAGCATCAGCACCGGAAGGTGGGATGGCTCCGTTGGCATGCATCGCGTTCCAAAGCTCTTCGAAACGTCTATCCGCATTCAAGCCTTCGTCCCTGACATCAGTCTCGAGCCTGTCGAGCGCTTCCCGGACTTTTCTATCCTGCTCCTCTTCCGTGTCCAACTCTTCGGAAGCTTTGCCTTTGCCTTTGCCCTTGTCCGTAGCAGCTTCAGCTTCAGCAGCATCCAGTCTTGCAAACTCTTCCTCCCATTGCTTGTCTGACAATTCGGTGAAGCGCGAATTCTGAGCACTCGTCTCGGACCGCTGAGCGCTGTTGCGCATGATGGAACCTTGACCCATCATGCCGCCAGACATCATGCCCATGCCGCCAAAACCGCCCATCATACCTCCTCCGTAAGTGCCAGGTCGAGCTGTGGTGGATGCGCCTGATGGCGTGGGAGTGCCGTTGGACGAGCGAGCAGCGGCAGCGGCGTCCGAAGGCTGCGTGGAGAACTGCTGCCTCCAAGCTCCGGCTGGAAGGGGGGACGCAGGCAGGGAAGCTAATGAGGACGCGCTTTCAAGCTGAGAACGAAAATGCGAACCGACTCACCCAGATCGGCATGTGGAGCTTGTTGAGGGATCCTGCTCATCTCTTGAGCCCATCCCGAGGGGACATTTCCGCTCCTCTGCATGCGCTCCATCTCCGTTCTCATCTTGTCGAACTGAAAAGCTCCATCCATAGGACCAAAGTCGCCATTGAGCTGAGGAGGAGGCGCGTTGCCGAAGAAGGCTTGTGCGTCTGATGGACCTGTTGGACCAGGGGCTTGACGACCCTGTCGGAAGGAGGCGCCGGGAAGAGAAGAGGGTGCATTGGTTCGATCTCCTTGTTGGAGGGAGCGATCGGTTTGAGAATGCTTCATGAGCGACTGAAGACCGTTTGAGGGTCCACAGTCGGCTCCACCCACGAGGGATTGGAAAGACATGGTGAGATGTGGCAAGGAGAGGTGGGTACTGAATGACTAGTCAGGCGTCGTGGACAAGCAGGCCTTGTGAGGAGCGGTATTTGATATCCGACGAGCCTGCACGGATTCCTGGTGAATGTGAAGTGGGAGGTGCTGATCAGTCAGGGTTGCGAGCGCTGTAAAGAGGTTACAGGAGCACGAAGCGGTTGATGGAATGATTGTGCATGGGTGGACGCTGACCCACTCACTCGTCACTGCTGCTGTGGA